CGAGGAGTGGCTGGTGGGTTTGAACCGCCAGCCTTCTGGTTAGCAGTCAAGTGCTTTAGCCACTATGCTACCAGAGCTCCTTCCCACTTCATAGACATACCTAATAGTTCAACCTGTCCACCCATCTATCCACCCACATACCCATGTTTGCCTTCACTGACAATGCAGTACTGTATGTGCAAAATGGTTCATCTTTCTTGTCTGTACCCCCCACAGACCTCTCTATGTCCTCCTCAATGCCACCATGTTGATCACTCACATTTGGTACATTGCCCTTCTCTTCACCCAAATCAACACTTATCTCTACCTATCTAACAGTGTTCCCTCCCTTCTCCTCCCATCCCCGGTAACCAACAAAGAAAATTTCCTGGAAGCCTGTATTTCAAGTAGGCAGAATCCACAGATGCCTGGTTTGATTATAAGCTACTAGATGCCCATTTTAAAACATCAGACCTCCTCAAACTATAAATGTCTAAAAAGTCACCATTCATTTGAATTGGGCTTTTATTCCTATTGAATGAAAAGGCTCTGAGAACAGATTCCACTGAACAATGTCGATTACTCAAAAATTAATAGGAATGCTTCTATCTCTAAGATTTTGCTTTTCATTAGAAGGGAGAGGTTGGAGAGAGAAGGAGAGAGCACTGGGAAGGGAAAAAAGGGCAATGAAACCTAGGGAGACAGAAAGGAAAAGGAATAAGAATTTAGAAAGTAGAAATAAAGGACACATTTCAGCTACTGCAAAGGTTTTTCTGGGAAATAGGCTACCAGGGCCTTGTAAATTACGTGCTAAGGTCCACCTGTTCCTGCTTAGCTTCTTTGCAGATGTCGAGGGCTGTGCTCCCTTAGTGGCACCCACACTTCCATAAAGACAACAGCAGCGGTGAGATTCACACAGAGAAATGAATAATGACACTTGGCACAAAAGGGCCACCATTGATGGAAGGAGAAGCCATGAGATGGGTAAGCCTGGACTACTTAACCAGGTTGCAAAATGTCCTTTGCTCATGATTTTCACCCCTCTTGTAAATCATATTGATCAGTTCTAACTGATATTCCCAAAAGACAGAGCTAACAACTAGCTCAAGTGTAATCCTTCTTTGATCTGGCCTTGAATTAAGCCCAGATCAACAGTGGAACAGTTGAAGTCTTTCAAGCAAGACGATCAGGACAGAGAGGGCTCTCTGAAGCTAGTGAATCTCTTATGCTCACACAGCTCACTGGAAGAGCTTCTGGTTGTCATACAGAAGTGAAACAATATGGTTTAGAATTAGTAACCCCATAATCTGGCCCTTATTTTCCAACTATCCCTGATTTCCTGTACCCCCCCCCCAATACTAATCCTTCCCTCCAGCAAGCCTAGTCACCACCACACTACCTAAGAAAAAGAATTGTGGAGTAGATTGACCAGGAAGGAACCTCAAAGATGATCTAGCTCAAGCCCCTAACTTTTTTCAAAAAATTCTTATATTTATTTTTAATGCATTTTATTGAAATATAATTTATGTACAGTGAAATACACAAAACTAAAGTGACATGGGTCAATGCATTTTTTTTTTGCAGTGTTCCCTCCCCTCCCCTCCCACCTCTGGCAACTGACAAAGAAAGTTTCCCTCCATATATAAACCTTTCCTTGACCCTCCACAACAATGAATTAATAATATATTTGTCCTTCTGTGATTGACTTATTTCACTAAGCATAATGTCTTTCAAGTTCATCCATATTATGCGGTGTTTTGCAGACTCTACATTATTCTTTAGTGCTGCATAGCATTCCAGTATGTGTATGTACCATAGTTTAGTCATCCACTCTTCTGCTGATGGACACGTGTTTCCATCTTTTTGCTATTGTAAATAGTGCTGTGATGATCATGAGCGTGCATGTATCTGTTCCTATCCTGACTCTCACCTTTCTAGGCTATATACCTAGTAATAGGATTACTGGGTCAAATGCTATGTCCAATTCCAACTTTCTAAGGAATCGCCATATTTCTTTCCACAGTGGTTGTATCACTTTACAGTCCCACCAGCAGTGTATGAGAGTCCCAGTCTTTCCACATCCCCACCAGCATTTGTTATTTTCTATCTCATTGAACCTTGCCATCAGTGCTGGAAGCCCCTAACTTTCGAGATGAGGAAACTAATGCTAAAGAGGAACAGGATTTGATTATATTCCAAGAATTCAGAGGCTTTCTTTCTCTTCCTTTCACTCTCTAACTGTGAGGATAATATGCTTACAGCTGAGCTTGGGGTAACTAAGGAGTTTATTTGTAAGAAGTAAAAGGGGAAAAAAATTAGCAGTCTGGCCCCACATCCTCTCTATTCCCTCTGTTCAATGCAAAGAGAAGACACCTTGAGTTCTGAGCGTCTCAATCCCCCCTGGGAAATACTTATTTATTTCTCTCCACAGTCTTTAAGGGAAATAATTTCTGATCAATGAGGTTTCTTCTGATCTCCTTTTCTTTTCGTTTCAAGGTACAAAAGAAGCTGCTGAATAAGAATAGATGCAACTTGAGTAGTATAGCTTAGTGTCTTTAAAAAAGACACTAAAACATGGCCCCAATAGTTTTTACACCTAGAAGCAGGGCTGGAATTAGGATGAGATTAATGAGGTACTCACTTCAGAGACAGTATTTAAGGAGATACCAAAGAACTCAGTAATCAAGATACGTAATATTCTAATGCAATTTTTAAAAAATAATGCAAAAAAGAAATCTCTAGTGAACAAATATCAAAATTTTAATTAATAGTATCTGAGTCTGCGCTAGCATGACTCACATCCCTCATCTTGCCCTAATCTCAGCCCTGTCAAATCAGGTCTCTATTTAACAATTTGAAGGATTCTATGGGAAAAAGGAGCTCTGGTAGCATAGTGCCTAAGGCACTTGACTGTTAACCGGAAGGCTGGCGGTTCAAACCCACCAGCCACTCCTCAGAAGGAAGGTTGGGCAATCCTACTTTTGTAGTGATACTGCCTCGGAAACCCAAGGAGGTGTCACTATGAGTCGGGGCCGACTCGACGGCAAATAACAACAACAACATTTAACAATTTGATGTTTTGTTCTTAGGGGAAGTTTTGCATTCATTTTGATTTTTTAAAATATTGAGTTAAAACATTATATATCTAACTTACTCAGTTGGTTTTTTGTTTTTGTTTTTGTTTTTTTGGTGCTCCCTTAAATTTTGTACCTGAAGTGAGTGCCTCATTCACATTACCCTAATCTCATCTCTGCCTAAGATTCACTCTTAACCAAAAAAACCTAACTCACTGCCATGGAGTCAATCTTGGCTCATAGAGGCCCCTCCTTGGGTTTCTGAGGCAGTATCACTATGGAAGTAGATTGCCCAAACTTCCTTCCAAGGAGTGGCTGGTGGGTTTGAACCACCAGCTTCTGGTTAGCAGTCAAATGCCTTAGGCACTACACAACCTCTTAGCTCTCATCAAAGGACCCAAAGACAAGAGACAAGAAATTAAAATACATGCAGAATTCAAAATTTAATTCAGTAAAGATTTTTATTATTATTGAAGAAGAATAAAAAGATTCCAGCTCAGCAACACTGGAAAGATAAATGATTTGTGGCTACCCATTTCACTCAAGGCATGACCCCATGTCCACAACTCAGGTTTGCTTTAAGAAGAACCAGCACCAGAATAATGAGAGTGAAGAGAAGATCCCAGACTCAGATGCTGATACCAAATTATTCAATAAATCCCTGGAAACTAACTGCCACGATGTCATCACACGTGACAAGAATGAACCCCTTCTTGGGGGAAATGTGGTACTTGCAGGCAGGGTATCTGGTGCCTTCAATGAGCTCACAGACCGTCATTTTGAACTTTATCCTGCTCTGGAAGCAGAAAAGGGTGGAATGATTATGACAAGCCATCTTCTTGAGAGAAGTGCAGACAGCATTGATTTTCTGAGGCCTCTCATGGATGAAGATGTGTTTCTTTTTGCAGGTGTTGTCAGGTTCCTTGATGACTCTTTGTAAGATCATATAGTTGCAGTACCTCACAGAAACATAACTCTGAGGGTAGTCCACATGCAACTGCTCTAGGGTTGGCGTCCCTGATCCTTCATTCATCTCATTTTCCCAGAACAGAAGCACCAGGAAAATGATTACCATCAGTATTATCACGGGCGTAAGTCCCTTCGCATCTTTTGCTGTAAGTCCTATAGAGAAGGGGAGACAGAAGTAACAGAGGGTCATCCTTAGATGCCTCCTGCCTCAACCTCTGACTTTGCACCAGCATTCTTGAGATATTTTCTTTTTTCTGCTCATTAAAACTGTGTTGATCCTGCAAGATCCAGCTGGAAGTTTAGCTCCTCCAGAAAGTCCTTCTTAACCATGTCAGCCCTCAGAGTTTATTATTTACCTGTTAGCTCATATTCCCATTTTGTTTGTTTTGCCTTCCCCAAGCTGCTTGATTGTAGGTACCACATATACCCATTGTCACTGAGTCGATTTCAACTCATAGCGACTCCCATTGGGTTTCCAAGGGTGTAAATGTTTACAGAAGTAGATTGCCTCATCTTCCTCCTGTGGAGCAGCTGGTGGGTTTGAACTGCCAACCTTCTGGTTATCAGCCAAATGCCTTACAATTCTCCTGAATCCTTCAAAGTGCTTAACAATAGCTGGACAAGCAGAAGGTGCTAAAAAATACCTGTGCCTGATTGTTTTATTCCTGTTACTAGATGGCTTTCTCTCCCATAATATTTTCAAGCCTCATTCCATTCAATTCCTCATACTTTTACTACTGTCTATGCATCTGTTCTTCCCAATCCTTTCCCAGTCTCTATTTGTGTTGATCCTCTTTGACTCTCTGCTAGCTACTCTTACCTGTCCTTTTTGCTGTAGCTCTCACAGGTAGCATATCCTTGTGATCATGGATCTAACAAAGTCCTTTGTGTCTCTCTGTTCCCTGACAATAACTGGTACAGAGCCAGATGAGTGTGGGGAGGGCTAGTGTGGAAAGAGCAGAAAGGGAGGGACTTGAGAACTATGCTTTGGTGCCAATGGGGAGAAATGGAAGTTAGCTTCAGAGGGAGAGTTGGGTAAGGCAAATTTTGAATATATGCTCATTGAACAATCACGGACTTTTAAAAATAGCATTCACTGAAGTCCTACTGTGTGTCAGCTACAGTATTGTCTGTTTTATAAAGTTGCCATCAATCATTATATAATACAAACCTGTGAAGTAGCAATTATTTCTATCTCACTGGTAAAGAAACAAGTTGCAGAAACGTTAAGGCCAGGATGAAAGATGGCAAGGGTTATAAGAGCCTCAGTGCTTAACACTGAAACTCCAGCTTCAGCAAGTTTCATTCCCACATGGTGTCTAGGGCAGTGCAATATCGGTATTGACGTTAATCTTGATAAAACCCTGGGTTCCTGGAGTGTTTGGTTCTCAAACTCTGCCTCCCCAGGTAACTGAACATTGGAATCACCTGGGGGATCTTTTTAAAATACTGGCTTCCACCTTGAAATTTACTACCTGGCTTCTACCATGAGAAATTTTACTTCCTTTTTGAGTGTGGTATTAAGTATGGTCTGGGCTTTGGGATTATTAAATGCTTCCCTGGTGGTTCTAATATGCAGTAAAATTTGGGAACCACTAATGAGTGAGAAACCTACATGGCAAATCAGTGAGTAAAGTATTCAGACAACAGAATTATTTTCCTTGCTATCATTTCCTGGTCAGTTGATACAGGAATGAAAAAATAGACTAAACTTACTACTAGTTGCCCTGAGACAATTTCTCTTTTGAACAGTCAAATACAGAGTATCCTCTACACACTTGTATCTTTCTAATAGATGCCAGGAAAACTCTCTGGGTAAGGGGGTGTGAAAGAATATTCTCAGGTTGTAAGATGGCCTAGGAAGGACGGAGAATCCTGGAAAAGTCTTCAAAGAATTTGTCTCTATACAACAACAACAAAAGCATAATTTCAGATCATGTAAATGAGCAACTGTTGTTGGGCTCAATCAAGTCAATTCTGACTCACAACAACTCCATGTGACAGTAGAATTGCCTCATAGGGTTTTCTTGGCTGTAATATTTATGGAAGCAGTTCTTTCCCTCATGTAGCTGCTGGATAGGCTTGAATTGCCAACATTCTGGATAGCAACTAAGTGCTTTGTGCCAATGTTGTTGTTACTAAGTTCCATCAAGTCAGGTCTGACTCATAGCGACCTTATGTACAACAGAACAACACACTGCCTGGTCCTGCGGCAGCCTCACAATCCTTGCTATACCCGAGCCCATCATCTGAGTCATGGTGTCCATCCAGCTTGTTGAGAATCTTCCCCTTTTTCGCTGACCTCCACTTTACCAAGCATTTTATCCTTCTCCAGGGATCGGTGCCATCTGATGACATGACCAAAGTAGGTGAGATAAAATCTGGCCATTCTCATTTCCAAGGAGCATTCTGGTTGCACTTCCTCGGGGACAGATTTGTTCGTTCTTTTGGCAGTCTGTGATACTTTCAGTATTTTTTGCCAACACCACAACTGAAAAGCATCAACTCTTCTTTGGTCTCCCTTATTCACTGTCCAGCTCTCACATGCCTATGAAGTGATTGAAAGCACCATGGCTTGGGTTAGGTGCACCTTAGTCTTCAAAGAGACATCTTTACCCTTCAGCACTTGAAAGAGACCTTTTGCAGCAAATTTGACCAGTGCAATAAATCGTCTAATTTCTTGACTGCTGCTTCCATTGTTGTTGATTATGGAAACAAGCAATATGAAATCTTTGGCAACTTCAATCTTCTCTCCATTTATCATGATGCTGCTTATTGGCCCGATTATGAGGATTTTAGTTTTCTTTATCTTGAGGTGTACTCCATACTGCCAACTGTAGTCTTTAATCTTTGTCAATAAGTGCTTTAAGTCATCTTCACTTTCAGCAAGCAAGATTGTGTCATCTGCATAATGCAGTTTGTTAATTGTCTTCCTCCAATCCCGGTGCTGCATTCTTCTTCATATAGTCCAGCTTCTTGGATTATTTGCTCAGCACACAGATTGAATAAGTATGGTGAAAGGATACAACCCTGACACACTCCCTTCCTGATCATAAGCCATGCAGTATCCCCTTGTTCTTTTCAAACGACAGCCTCCTGGTCCATGTACAGTTTCTCGTGAACACAATTATTAAGTGTTCTGGAATTCCCATCCTTCTCAATGTTATCCATAATTTGTTATGATCCACACAATCAAGTTTACAGTGATAGAAAATCTGGCAACAGATATTGGTGATGGTTGCACAACATGATCGATGTACTTGGTGTCCCTAAATGGGATATGAGAAAAAGCACTAAATTGGCAATTGTTGTGTTATATATTTACAACAATTGAAAAACAACAATGATCCTACAGACTTTTTTCTTCATGTCTATCTTCTTATAACTTCTCCGTGGCGCTGCAACTGACTTTGGCTTACTTCAGCCTCCTTCCGAAGCCTGGATACAGGCCTTAACCTTTATTCTCCAATGCACCACTAAACACAAGGGTGTGGGCTCTAAAAGACTTTCTAAAAGTTTTGGATGACAGATGAGAAAACGAATCTTCACATTGATTCACATATCTGCTATTCCTGGCGTCTCTTAGCAGACCCTTCACAGGACCCTCTTTCTTTTTCTTTCTTTTTTAATTTGTATTGTGATTTGGGTCAAAGTTCATAGAGCAAATTCACTTTCCATACAGCCATTCATATTCATTTTGTTTCATGACATTGACACTGCAATTCCCCACAATGTAACAGCTCTCTTCTCCCTCCCTCCCGTAGTTACTTCTTCCCTGTGTCCTTTCCTATGCATTCCTGCCTCCTGAGTTATCTCCATGTGCAATACCGCCCATCTGTTCTCCCACGAATGACTGAATGATCGTTGTAAGGAGTATGTCTACTTGTTGTAAGTATTCACCCTATTTGCCTGTTTATTGTTTGGCTGGAAGCCACAGAAGTGAATTCAATTTCAGACCTGAAAGGTAACTAGGGTCTATAGTCTCAGGTATCTCACCAGGCTCTATCAGATTAGTAAACTTGGTCTTTTTTTTTAATGAATTTGATTTTGTTCCACATTGTTCTCCCACTCTCTCCAGGATCTACAGACCCTCTTTCAAATTGTCCCTTTCCCTTGGTCATTCTGATGCAAGGTTTGCTTGTCCTACTTATCATCTCCTGCTTAGTATCTTCTCAACTCGTGGGCTCCCATCTACAGTAGTGACCACAGACTCTCAACGGAGGAAGGCCTAGGAGATGGCAATCATGCCAAAAAAGACTTCCAAGGGCTTCTTAAAGGTGAATTTTCTGGCTGCTGTACATTCAATTGAGAAAATCTCAATTGCCCACATCAAAGAATGGGAATGGAAGGAGGTTGCTGAGTCTGTTGGAGGAGGGCTGATGACTCCACCACCAGCCCTCAACCACTCCTTAGTCTGCCACTGCCTGGCTACCATACGTTTTAAATTATATATGTGTGTGTGTGTATATATATATATATACACACACATATATTATATATATATATATAGTGGGAGAGGGATCCTAAGTGAAGTCCATCTGAGTAATTTTGCTACTAACTGAAAATACAGAAACCTAGACCTCTTGAACCAAAATGTCTGGAGGTAAGGCCCTGGAATCTGATTTGTGATTAGTAGCCTATCTCCAGCGAGTATAATACACACTGATATTTAAGCACTACCACAATAGATAGGAGCTCTGGTAGCATAGTGCCTAAGGCACTTGACTGCTAACCAGAAGGCTGGTGGTTCAAACCCACCAGCCACTCCTCACAAGGAAGATGGGGCAATCTACTTCCTAGTGATACTGCCTCAGAAACCCAAGGAGGGGTCGCTATGAGTCAGTTCTGACTCGACGGCACATAACAACAACAACAACACCACAATAGATGAACCCCATAGTGGTAAACAACATAATAATATCTAAAGAGTTGTACCCATCTCACACAAAATAGACTCCAGAGTCAGGAAGGGAGAAAGGGTGAAGTGAGAATGTGTCAGTGGGTTAGGAAGCAAGGTGAAGGCAGGGGATTACCGACAGTGAAGTAGCTGGGAATGACTTGGATTGGGGAAGATGGGAACAATGCCTAGAGCAGAGAGTGCTCTTC